GCTCCAAGCTCCGAAGAGCCAGGGGTTGTTAGAGAGCCCTTTCCCAGAAAGTCTGACACCCATGTCTTTAGTTCAGCGGCTGCACTTGTTGCTTTCAACTGGCCAACAGGTGCCTAGTAATCTGCTTTCTGAACAAATTTAGAAGAAGGACAGATCAGCAAGGCAAAGGAATAGAGTCACTTACCATGCTAAAGTTCAAAGTAGCTCCTGGCTGGCTCGCCAACAGACGTTACCAGATTAGATGCAACCGGATTTTTTGGAACTCAGGTTCTTGGCCTCTCAAACCCCGACGAATAGGGAAGGGGGCTTCAGTGTTGCAGTGAGTGTTACAGCTCACATAGAACTCATGAAACCAAAGAGTGTGCAGTAGTGTGGTTTATTAGGCAGAGCAAAAGGACAGCTTCCACACCGTTGAAGGAGACCCAGAGCTGGTGCCGCTGCAGGCTTCAGTGGCTACAGCTTATACCCCTGAGTTATTCCCTCCCCTTTCTTGTTATCGTCCCATGAGATGGTTTTTTTTTTTCAAACTTTCTCTGGATCAGTTGATCTTTGAATCCTTTACTGGATAGGTTACTGTTTTAAAACCCTGAGTCAACTGAGCCTCTGCCTTTAGGAGGCAGAGGTGGAAAATTCCTGCACTGGGAACAGAGCCCTTAGCCAGCTAAAGGTGGGAAAATACCCATAGTTAGAACAAAGCCCCTGGCTGACCCTGGAAGTTCCTCTAACACAGTCCCTCAATAACAAACTTCTCCAAGCTAAAGGAGAATGTTCTAACCCAATGCAAGGAAGCTAACCTTGAAAAAAGGTTAAACGAAATGCTAAATAGAATAACCAGCAAAACATAAACGACTTGATGGAGCAGAAAAACACAGCAAGAGAACTTCATGAAGCATACACAAGTTTAAATAGCCAAATCAATCAAGCAGGAAAAAGGATACAGAGATTGAAGATCAACTCAATGAAATAAAGCAAGAAGGCAAGATTAGAGAAAAAAGAGTGAAAAGAAATAAACAAAGCCTCCAAGAAATATGAGACTACATGAAAAGACCAAATCTATGTTTCATCGGTGTACCTGAAAGTGATGGGGAAAATTAAACTAAGCTGAAAAACACACTTCAGGGTATTAGCCAGGAGAACTTCCCCAAACTGACAAGGCAGGCCAACATCCAAATTCAGGAAATACAGACAACACTACAAAGATATTCCTTGAGAAGACCAATCACGACACATAATCATCAGACTCACCAGGGATGAAATGAAGGAAAAATGCTAAGGGCAGCCAGAGAGAAAGGTCGGTTTACCCACAAAGGGAAGCCCATCAGACTTACAGCAAATCTCTTGGCAGAAACACCACAAGCCAGAAGAGAGTGGGGGCCGATATTCAACATCCTTAAAGAAAAGAATTTTCAACCCAGAATTTCATAACCAGCCAAATTAAGCTTCATAAGTGAAGGAGAAATAAAATCCTTTACAGACAAGCAACTCCTAAGAGATTTTCGTGCCACCAGGACTTCCTTACAAGAGCTCCTGAAGGAAGTACTAAACATGGAAAGGAACGACCAGTGGCAGCCACTGTAAAAACATACCAAATTGCAAAGACCACTGACACTGAAGAAAGTGCATCAATTAACAGGGAAAACAAACAGCTAGCATCAAAATGGCAGGATCAAATTCTCACATAATAATACTAGCCTTAAATGTAAATAGGTTAAATGCCCCAATCAAAAGACACAGACCGGCAAACTGGATACAGAGTCAAGACCCATCAGTGTGCTGTATTCAGGAGACCCATCACACATACAAAGACACACATGGGCTCAAATTAAAGGGATGGAGGAAGATTTACCAAGCAAATAGAGAGCAAAAAAAAAAAAAAAGGGAAGTTGCAATCCTAGTCTCTGCTAAAACAGACTTTAAACCAACAAAGATCAAAAGAGACAAAGAAGGGCATTACATAATGGTAAAGGGATCAATGCAACAAGAGCTAACTATCCTAAATATATAGGCATCCAATATGGGAACACTCAGATACATAAAGCAAGGGCATACAAAGGTTCTTAATGACCTACAAAGAGACTTAGACTTCCATTCAATAATAGTGGGAGATTTTAACACCCCACTGTTAATATTAGCCAGATCAACGAGACAGAAAATTAACAAGGATATCCATGACTTGAACTCAGATCTGGACCAAGCAAACCTAATGGATATCTACAGAACTCTCTGCCCCAAATCTACAGCATATACATTCTTCTCAGCATCACGTCACACCACTCTAAAATTGACCACATAATTGGAAGTAAAACACTCCTCAGCAAATGCAAAAGAACATAAATCATAACAAACAGTCTCTCAAACCACAGTGTAATCAAATCAGAACTCAGGATTAAGAAACTCACTCAAAACTGCACAACTACATGGAAACTGAACAACCTACTCCTGAATGACTACTGGATAAATAATGAAACAAAGGTAGAAATAAAGATGATCTTCAAAACCAATGAGAACAAAGACACAACGTACCAAAATCTCTGGGACACATTTTAATCAGTGTCTAGAGGGAAATTTATAGCACTAAATGCCCACAAGAGAAATGAGGAAAGATCTAAAATCGACACCTTACCGTCACAATTAAAAGAACTAGAGGAGTAAGATCAAATTCAAAAGCTAGCAGAAGACAAGATCAGAGTAGAACTGAAGGAGACAGAGACACAAAAAAACCCTTCAAAAAACAAAATCAACAAATCCAGGATCTGGTTTTCTGAAAAGATCAACAAAGTAGACCACTAGCCAGACTAATAAAGAAGAAAAGAGAGAAGAATCAAATAGATGCGAAAAAAAATGAGAAAGGGGATATCACCACCAATCCCAAAGAAATACAAACTACCATCAGAGAATGCTACAAACACTTCTATGCAAATAAACCAGTAAATCTAGAAGAAATGGATAAATTCTTGTACACTTACACCCTCCCAAGACTAAATCAGTAAGAAGCTAAATCCCTGAATAGATCAATAACAAGGTCTGAAATTTAGGCAGTAATTAATAGCCTACCAACCAAAAATGTCCAGGACCAGATAGGTTCACAGCCGAATTCTACCAGAGGTACAAAGAGGAGCTGATACTATTCCTTCTGAAACCATTCCAAACAATACAAAAAGAGAGAGTCCTCCCTAACTCATTTTATGAAACCAACATCAGCCTGATGCCAAACCTGGCAGAGACACAACTAAAAAAGGAAATTTCAGGGCAATATCCATGATGAACATTGATGCGAAAATCCTCAATAAAATACTGGCAAACTGAATCCAACAGCACAACAAAAAGCTTATCCATCACAATCAAGTCAGCTTCATCCCTGGGATGCAAGACTGGTTAAACATATGCAAATCCATAAACATAATCCATCACATAAACAGAACCAAAGACAAAAACCACATGATTATCTGTTGAAGGCAGAGAAGGCCTTCAACAAATTCAACAATGCTTTATGCTAAAAACTCTCAATAAACTTGAGTATCAATGGAATATATCTCAAAATAATAACAGCTATTTATGAAAAACCCACAGCCAGTTATCATACTGAATGGGCAAAAACTGAAAGCATTCCCTTTGAAAACCAGCACAAAACAAGGATGCCCTCTCTCACCACTCCTATTCAACATAGTATTGGAAGTTCTGGCCAGGGCAATCCAGCAAGAAAAAGAAACAAAGGGTATTCAATTAGAAAAAGAGGAAACCAAATTGTCTCTATTTGCAGATGACATGATTGTATATTTAGCAGACCCTACTATCTCAGCCCAAAATCTCCTTAAGCTGACAAGCAACTTCAACAAAGTCTCAGGATACAAAATCAATGTGCAAAAATCATAAGCATTCCTACATATATATCAGTAATAGACAGACAGCCAAACCATGAGTGAACTCCCATTTACAATTGCTACAAAGAGAATAAAATACCTAAGAATACAACTAACAAGGTATGTGAATGACCTCTTCAAGAACTATAAACCACTGCTAAGGGAATAAGAGAGGACACAAACAGATGGGAGAATATTCCATGCTCATGGTTAGGAAGCATCAATATCATGAAAATGGCCATACTGCCCAAAGTAATTTATAGATTCAAGGCTATCCCCATCAAGCTACCATTGTCTTTCTTCACATAATTGGAAAAAAACACCTTAAATTTCATATGGAACCAAAAGAGAGCCCACATAGCCAAGACAATCCTAAGCAAAAAGAACAAAGTTGGTGGCATCACGTTACCTCACTTCAAACTATACTACAAGGTTACAGTAATCAAAACAGCACGGTACTGGTACCAAAACAGAGATGTAGACCAATGGAACAGAACAGAGGCCTCAGAAATAACACCACACATCTGCAACCATCTGATCTTTGACAAACCTGACAAAAACAAACGATGGGGAAAGGATTCCCTATTTAATAAATGGTGTTGGGAAAACTGGCTAGTCATATGCAGAAAGCTGAAACTGGATCCCTTCCTTACACATTATACAAAAATTAACTCCAGGTGGATTAAAGATTTAAACCTAAGACCTAACACCATAAAATCCCTAGAAGAAAACCTAGGCAATACCATTCAGGACATAGGCATGGGCAAAGACTTCATGGCTAAAACACCAAAAGCAATGGCAACAAAAGCCAAAATCGACAAATAGGATCTAATTAAACTTAAACGTTTCTGCACAGCAAAAGAAACTGTCATCAGAGTGAACAGGCAACCTACAGAATGGGAGAAAAATTTTACAGTCTACCCATCTGACAAAAGGCTAATATCCAGATTCTATGGTGAACTTTAACAAATTTACATGAAAAAAAACAATAACCCCCTCGAAAAGTGGGTGAAGGATATGAGCAGACACCTCAAAAGAAGACATTTATGCAGCCAACAACATATGAAAAAAAGCTCATCACTGGTCTAATTAAAGAAATGAAAATCAAAACCACACTGAGATACCATCTCACGCCAGTTAGAATGGTAATCATTAATAAATCAGGAGACAACAGATACTGGAGAGGATATGGAGAAATAAGAACGCTTTTACACTATTGGTGGGAGTGTAAATTAATTCAACCATTGTGGAAGACAATGTGGCAATTCCTCAAGGATCTAGTATGGAAATACCATTTGACCTAGCAATCCCATTACTGAGTATATATCCAAAGAATTGTAAATCATTCTATTATAAAGACACATGCACACGTATGTTTACTGCGGTACTGTTCACAATAGCAAAGACTTGCCCATCAATGATAGACTAGATAAAGAAAATGTGGGACATATACACCATGGAATACTATGCAGCCATTAAAAAGGATTGAGTTTATGTCCTTTGCAGGGACATGGATGAAGCTGGAAACCATCATTCTCAGCAAACTGACACAAAAACAGAAAACAGAACACTGCACATTCTCACTCATAAGTGGGTGTTGAACAGTAAGAACGCATGGACACAGAGAGGGGAACATCACAAACCAGGGCCTGTTGGGGAGTGGGGGGTTGGGGAGGGATAGCATTAGGAGAAACACCTAATGTAGATGACAGGGTGATGGATGCAGCAAATCACCATGGCATGTGTATACCTATGCAACAAATCTGCACATTCTGCACATGTACCTCAGAACTTAAAGTATAATAAAATAAATAAGTAAACTTCTAAATAAAAACAGATACACATGGATTGGAAGAAAGGAAAATCAATTTCAATACTGGACAGCTGAATCACCATCCACATTCCAGGAAAAAATTACAAGAAAGTAACATAAGAAGGAACACACGGCTGGATGCAGCACCTCACACCTGCAGTCCCAGCACGTTGGGAGGCTAAGTCCAGTCGATCACTTGAGCCCAGGAGTTCAAGACCATCCTGGGCAACACAGTGAAACCCCATCTCTACAAAAAATACAAAACTAAGCTGGACGTATTGGCGCACGCCTGTAATCCCAGCTACTCAGAAGGCTTAAGCAGGAGGATCACTTAAGCCCAGGAGGTAAAGACTGCAGTGAGCCAAGATGGTGCCACTGCACTCCAGCCTGGGTGACAAAGTGAGATCCTGTCTAAAAAAAAAAAAAAAAAAAGGAACAAGGAAAGCACATTTAAAATTAGTATATTACCTCTAACCCATTATTCATAGACTACATAAAAGAAAATGAATTGCAAAACATGAAATCTATTGTTACATAATTAGTAGTGATCTCATTGTGGTGGAACCTGGGTTAGAATTAGTTAATATTTTACCTAATTAAATGCCCTTTGGAAAGAACTTGAAGTAATGTTTCTATAATTGTAAACATACCTTAAGCATCTCCACTTCTAAATCTTCATCACTCTCAATTACATAGGATGTATCCTTTTCATTATCATTGGGAGATAAATGCTTTTAAAAAAAGTTTTAAGCATTAATTTCCAATATAATTGATCTTATATCCTCTTTTCTGCAGAATAAAACTCCTATATACTAGATATCTTAGACAACCTCCTCTTCCCTAATGGATAAATATATAATACATATTTATATGTTTATATGATAGATTAAAAAAGGGAGAGAGAGAACAATGAACAAGGAAACAAAGAATAACAGAAATAAAGAAATACAGTTAGGAATACAAAGTTAGATAAAGAGATGAAATAAAATCCCTGCTCTAAACAAGAATATAAAATGACAAGTTCAACTCAGGTTAAACAATGTCAAACTCTGTCTCCCAAACTTTTTGAGTATAAGAACTCTTTGCAATGTTGAAAAATGCCATACAAAGAACAATAGCTGTTCTTTGACATCCATGATTTTAAAAAGGTTACAAAAAACTACTATGATTGTAATAGCTTTAAATAAATCTTATTTTACAAATAGCATTCTACACACATTTGAAAAATAGCGCCAGAGATGTTATTTATTCAGTCTATTGCCAATGTTTGGATATGAGGAAACTTTTCAATAATTTAGCATATCCAGGAACCAAGTGTCCAACAAGATGGGAACCCTCACAAAAATTCATAGAAAGAAAACCCTCAAAAAAATGCCAAATATTTAAAGAGGAAGTAGGAAAAGGAAGTACAGCCTTAATTAACCTGCAAAATTTAAGCAATAAAAAAAACTGAAAATAAGTTTTTACAAGGAAAAAAGTTCTTTTATTTTTTTTACAAGTTCTTTTACTTCTTATTTAACGAATGAAGAAAACAATACTTAGTACTCAATAAAAAATGGTAAAAACGGGTGTAAAAGATGTCAGTCAAATCATGAGATGCTAAGCCAGGCATGGTGGCTCATACCTGCATCCCAGCACTTTGGGAGGCCAAGGCAGGCAGATCACTTGAGGTCAGGAGTTCAAGACCAGCATGGTGAAAATGATGAAACCCCGTATCTACTAAAAATATAAAAATAAGCCAGGCATGGTGGCAGACACCTGTAATCCCAGCTACTCAGGAGGCTGAGACAGGAGAATCACTTGAACTGGGAGGTAGAGGTTGCAGTGAGTAGAGACAGCACCACTGCACTCCAGCTTGGGTGACAGAGTGAGACCCTGTCTCAAAAAAAAAAAAAAAAGAAGGAACAAAGAAAGCACATTTAAAATTATCATATTACCTCTAACTCATTATTCACAGACTACATAAGATAAAGGAAGCTTGAATTGGAAAACGTGAAATCTAATGTTACATAATTAGTAGCAATTTCACTGTGGTGGAACCTGGGTTAGAATTAGCTAATATTTTACCTAATTAACTGTCCTTTGGAAGGAACTTGAAGCAGTGTTTCTGTAATTGTAAACATACCTTAAGCATCTCCATTTCTAAATCTTCATCGCTCTCAATTACATAGGATGTATCCTTTTCATTATCATTGGGAGATAAACACTTTAAAAAGAAATATTAAGCATTAATTTCCAATATAATTGACTTCATATCCTCTTTTCTGCAGAATAAAACTCCTACATACTAGATATCTTTATACAACTTCTTCTTCCCTAATGGATAATATATATATTTACATGTTTATATAATAGATTAAAAAGGGAAAGAAGGAACAATGAACAAGGAAACAAATAACAAAAGAGGAAGAAATACAGTTAGGAATACAAAGTTAGATAAAGAGTTGAAATAAAATCCCTGCTCTAAACAAGAACACAAAATGACAAGTTCAACTCAGATTAAACAATGTTAGACTCTTGTCTCCCAAACTTTTTGAGTATAAGAACTCTTCACAATGTTGAAAAATGCCGTACAAAGAACAATAGTTGTTCTTTGACATCCATTGTTTTAAAAAAGATTACAAAAAACTACTATGATTGTAATAGCTTTAAATAAATCAGGATTTTACAAATAGCATTCTATACACATTTGAAAAATAGTGTCAGAGACGTTATTTATTCAGCTATTGCCAATGTTTGGATATGAGGAAAGTTTTCAATAATTTGACATCTCCAGGAACCAAGTGTCCAACAAGATGGGAGCCCCCACAAAAATCCATAGAAAGAAAACCCTCAAAAAATGCCAAGTATTTAAACAGGAGGTAGGAAAAGGAAGTACAGCCTTAATTAACCTGCAAAATTTAAGCAACAAAAAAAAATTGAAAATAAGTTTTTAAGAGGAAAAAAAATTTCCTTTATTTTTTAGAAGTTCTTTTACTTCTTATTTAATAAATAAAGAAAACAATACTAATAATTAATACTCAATAAAAAAATGGCAAAAATTGGTATAAAAGATGCCAGTCAAATCATGAAATCCTGAGTGTGGTGGCTCACACTTGTAATCCCAGCACCTTGGGAGGCCGAGGTGGGCAGATCACTTGAGGTCAGGAGTTCGAGACCAGCCTGGACAACATGGGGAAACCTCGTCTCAACTAAAAGTATAAAAATCAGCCGAGCATGGTGGCAGCACCTGTAATCTCAGCTACTAGGGAGGCTAAGGCAAAAGAATAGCTTGAACCAGGGAGGTGGAGGTTGCAGTGTGCCAAGATTGTGCCACTGCACTCCAGCTTGGGCGACAGAGCTAGATTCCATCTAAAAAATAAAATAAAATAAAAACCTTGAAATCCTGGTAATTCTATAACTTTATATGAAACATATCATTAAAAGTGTATACCTAATCAGAAATTCCCAGAAAATCAAAGGTAAATGCAGATGTTAGCAAAAACTGGTATTTCCCAAAAGGGGAACATGCTTTATGAATGGTTGGTATAAGAATATTTTGAAACCCCTTTTAAGATAAAATGCAATTATATACTGATAGAAGTGATTATTAATAGTTACCAAAATATAGGGAACTGCTCAAATACTAAAATTTTTGTTGCCATTAGAAAGACGATGGGGAAATAACTCTAATAAAATAGTCAATCTAATTTTTTAAAAAACTTATGAAATAAAATACAAAATTTCAGAAAATACAAGCATCTTAAGTAATTTTGTAAAGTAATGAAAAACAAATGAGAAATTAAGAAATTAATTTAATGAAGAAATTAAGGAAAAAATGTGACTATGAGATGACAGTAAAACTATTGTCAAGGAAAACCATCAGGAGTTTATTAGAAACCCTCTCACATGAGCAAGCAAAGAAATTCTGGACCAGGCACAGTGGATCACACCTATAATCCCAACACGTTGGGAGGCCAAGGTAGGTGGATCCCACTTGAGTTCAGGAGTTGGAGACCAGTCTGGGCAAAACCCCATCTCTACAAAAATACAAAAATTAGCTGGGTATGGTGGCAGAGGCCTGTGGTCCCAGCTACTAGGGAGGCTGAGGTGGGAAGGCTCAGGAGTTGAAAGCTGCAGGAAGCCAAGATTGTGCCACGGCACTCCAGCCTGGGGGACAGAGCAAGACCCTGTCTCAAAAACAAGAAAGAAAAAAGAAAACAATTCTGTATAAAGAAATAAAAACGACCCCCAAAAATCAAGTCAGAAGAGTCAACACTAGTAAATATGAAAAGAATCCACAAAAAAGCAGAGATACCTATTATGAAAAAAGCATACGAATTATAAAATAGCAAATTACTACAAATGTCTGTTGACACTATAAAGTCTTTCCACTACACAATGCTGCATATCATACTAAGTCAGGAAGCGCAAACTACAGCTCACAAGCCAAATGCGGCCCACTGCCTGTCTCTGTAGATAAAGTTTTATTGAAACACAGACAGGCACATTTGTTTACATTTGTTTGTGGCTGCCTTTACACTACAATAGCAGAACTGAGTAACTGCAACAGAGATTCTACATCCCACAAACCCTAAAGTATTACTATCTGCCCGTTTACAGAAAAAAAGCCAGACCCTACTAAAAACTAAAAATGTGCTTCCTCTTTATTTAGTACCTCAGTAGATTTATAAGCAGTATTACTAAGATATTCTTCCTGAGCCTGCTGTTCCAAAATTTGGAGTTCATGTTCTGTAACACCTAAAGACATCAAACAAGCTCTTTCCATATTCTCTTTCAATTTATTGTCTTCTACTCCATCTTCAAATCCATCTTCTTTTCGTTTCACTTTATTTCCAAGTACATCTTCTCCATCATGTTCAGCTAAATGATCAAGTGTTGGGTCCCATGTTTCATCTTCAATATTAACAAAATTTTTATGTTCTCTAATTTGTTTCTGTTGTACTGCCCCAGCAGTTGAATCTTCAAAGGATAATGAGTTTAAATTCCTGCTGGGCCTCGGTTCAGTCTCCATGTTAGTAGATGTAAATATCACCTTCCTCAGTGAATACAGATTTTCTGAAATATCCTTTAGTAAGACAGAAACCCTAAAAAAAAATTAAGAGAGGTTAATTCAATTTTAATTGCATTAACTATAAGGACAAATTGTGAAGCTTTTTAATAAGTAAAAGCTTTCTAAGCTGACCTTCACTTAAAAGATCCATACTATTAAAGCTGTTCTTCATTCCCTAATGCCCATATATAATTACAGCTTATAGGCTACTCTTCAGCATCAAGGAAATTCTGCACCTACAGTTGACTTGTATGTTTACTAAAAGTCAGTAGTGCTTGGTCCTAAATTTGTTTAGGCCAACTACATGTTTATTGTTGATTAATTAAGTGTAAAGTAAGTTATGATACATGACCCAAAAAAAAAAAAAAGAAAAAAAGAAAAACCTATTTCATTAAATTCCAAGTTGAATACATGTAAAGATTTTGTAAATTTATTTTTTTGTTTAAAAAAAAAGTTGTTTAATAAACTGTGATTAAAGAACCCTAAAAGTCTGAAGAAAAATCATAATGCCTAGGACTCTGCATTCAGACTGCTTCAAGTGTCTTAATTTTTCACTCTGTCTTAAAGAATTGGAAATTGTCAATGGTACAGTATGAGTGTGGCTTAAACAAGAAACACTATGCAGAACTCCAAACACCTGGCCTGTATATAATGAAAAAGCTCTGACATATACCAAAAGACTGGGAACAAACAAACATTTTTAACATTATTATTATTATTATTATACTTTTACTTAATACCTTTATCATTATTATAAGTTCTGGGGTACGTGTGCAGATTGTGCAGGTTTGTTACATAGGTATACACGTATCATGGTGGTTTGCTGCAACCATCCCCCTGTCATCTACATTAGGTATTTCTCCTAATGTTATCCCTCCCCAATCATTAACACTTTAAGTTAAAAGAAAATTTTGGCCGAGTGCAATGGCTCACGCCGGTAATCCCAGCACTCTGGGGAGCAAGGCAGGCGAATCACTTGATGTCAGGAGTTCAAGACCAGCCTGGCCAACATGGCAAACCTCTGTCTCTACTAAAAATACAAAAATTAGCCAGATGTGGTGACACACACCTATAATCTCAGCTACTTAGGAGGCTAAGGCAGGAGAATCGCTTGAATCCCTGAGGCAGAGGTTGCAGTGAGCTGAGACAGCGCCGCTGCACTCCAGCCTGGGCAACAAGAACAAGAGTCGTCTCAAAAAAAAAAAAAAAATAGAAAATTTTGATGATCCTGTTTTGGCTAATTTTTTCACTTCACTGATCAATTACTAGTCCCAACTGCAACACAAGAGTATTTGTGCTATAATTTGAAAATGATGCTGTTTTGCATCTCCAAAAATCTCAGAACTCAACATTTTTGGAACAGAAAAAAATCAATTTCCCATCAGTAGGCAAATATAACAAGTAAGAAAATACGGATACAACATATATAAATAAATACTAACTAAATTTCTTAACTCATTAATTGCAGTTGCTAATGTATAACATGTTAACTAAGTAAGTTTAAATGACTATATTATAACCCAACCTAGTTAGTTGGAATGGAAAACACTGCTAGAGTGTAAAATAAGGAACAACATCTTGTCTATTTGTTGCAGAGCTAAAAGTATTTCATAAAAGCAGAAATTAGTAGAAGTGAAGGGAGTATGATGAGCACGGACATGTTTTACTCTTTAATTAGTGATTTTGTTTAGATCATCTAATATTTATGTATTTAAAATCAATGCTTAATAAAATCTGGCATGCCTTTTAAAATTTTATATTAACGGCTCAAGTAAAAGTTTGATCCTTCATGGGAATAAACTATCAAAAGTACTAAGTGGTTTCATGAGTTATTTCCAGTTACTTCCACACTGAAAACACCACTCCAAAGTTGGGCTCAAGCTTAAGCAAAGTCTACATTAACACCAACAAAATCAAGAGCAAAATTAAATTCAAAAACTAAAAACACACTGCTACCTAATTTAAACATTCTAAAATTCTATAATTCTTATAAAGAACTTTTAGCTTTATATACAGCTACTCAAATGTTAAAATTACATGCAAATAGTTTAGTAGGAACAGATATGTGATATAGTTTAATTGTTACATGTACAGGGAATGGTGTAACATACAAACACAGCAACAGTGGCACAGACTGACTATCAAGAGTGTAAGCGCTCATTTATCAGGCCCTGACACAAGGGAATATAACATGTTTTATGTAAGATAACTAATATTTACTCTAACAAATGCCAAAGGCTGTCCTGCCTTCTTCAGTAAGGCACAGTGTACTTTTCCTTCTTTCTCAGGATTGTTATTATGCATATTAGTAGCCTGCAGACAGCCTCAGCACCCAGCAGAATGTCAAGTACATGACACCAATACAAGAGATATAGACTGAATTTAAATCAATGACTAACTATACACTGCTAATACCTTCAGACTCCACTGAAGCATAAAGCTGCTCCCTTCTATAATAAACTTCAAACTGCTCTATTTTAAGAGTTTTTAGTTCTGATTTTTACAGTTTTGTCCACTCTTTCACAGATTGTCAGCTGTCACTTCCACCTACTGTCATGTGCATATCATTCCTTATTTAAACCATTTTCACTTTAACTCAATACCCAAGCTTGTCAAACTGGATCTACAAACAAAATGTGGCCTCATGCACTCCACTGGAAATGCAGAAAGTAAGCTGGAATACATGCTTATGGCATTATTCTGACTGCTCACAGGCTTTTTTTAATTCCCTCCTGGTTCTGAGGTGTCATCTAGATAATGTTAGATATTACTGTAGATTTGTTACAAAGAACATGAAATAAGAGACTAATTATTGTTTTCACACTAAAACTTCACAAGACCCGGTATTTCCCATTCCCAAGTTTTAAGAAAACTTATTTAGCTTCAATATGTAAAAACTGATTATATAAATTGGCAATTCTTGAAATACCCAACTAAATCAGAGTCAAGGGCCAAGGGGAAAAAAAGCACTCAAGGCATATAACATTACTCTAAGAATGTAATTTTCTGCAAGCCTCGCTGCTGAAACTGCTTATTGTAATGTGAAACCAGTTTTATCTAATAGATACTCAATCAACCTGCTGCAACCCTAAGACTCGTTTTACCCACCAGTCACTAACCAATCACAGCTTCCAACTCCCCAAAATTTACTAGTGCCAAAGAACTTTCTAGAAAAACAATATGTAACATTTTCCTTTTTACATAACCTCCAAACTTCTCTTTGTTCTTTAGAGATATCAAAGACCACCTAGTCTGTCTGTGTGTATGCCCCAAATTTAATTCTTGCTTCCCAAACAAACCATTTTCAATTTAAAGATCTGTCTCCATATTTTACTTGACTTCAACAGATATTATGAAGCAAAGCATTAAGCATATGTAATTTACATCCAGTAGATATTTCAATTGCTAGTACAAAAATCTGAAATGCATGTAAAAGTCATAGAAAAGGTGACTGCTCTAATTTCATGGAGAGAAAAATGTATAAATGGGTAGGAAATGGCTTTACCAGTATCCTTCCCCATTTGAAAGTTACATCTTTCAGAAATTCTCCAAGTTGCATTAAAAACTACCAAAACAAATTCTAGGGTGAAAAATTACTTTGAAAAAAAGCTAAATTTCTATATCATAGTCTCAAATCTCAATCAAAATCTATCACAAATCTTATCCAGAAAAGCATACATTAAGTGCACTTTTTCAGGGTCAGAATGTTTTCTACTCCAAGTAAGAGCTTCGCATTTCTACAAAGTATTTTTTGGCCCAAAATTACATTACCACATTCTAATTGTTCATTGTTCCAGAGCATTCCTGCTTTTAGAGATTTAATAAGCAAGTCATTCAGCAATTAAGGCCAGGACAAGGTCTGGTTCCAAAAAGACACAGCACCTGTATCCAAGGTCTATTAATCTGCAAAACATTTGATCCAAATATTTTAAGTTATCTAGTGCTTTAGCTATAAAAGAATCTCTAAAATGGGAATGTCTTTTGTTCTAATAAGGTATTATTTAAGTAGAATTCTTAAGTAATAATCAGATAATAACAAAAAAAAAAGCTACCAAGTATGAAGTTGCTTTTGGTTACTATAGATTTCGTGACCAAACTATAAATGTTATTAAATGAAAGATACTCATTAACAGAAACAAAATGACAACTTTGAATCTTAATTTTCCTCAATGTGTAATTAATTTATTTTACTTTTAAAAAAAATAAAAATATAATTTCAAAATGTATAATATGAATATAATTTCTATTCCTTTGTTTCATAAAACATCCTACAAAGCAGACAGAAAAGGCTTAAACCTTTGGATTCACTATTTAACAACTGGAAAGATATTTCTCAAGTTTATACACCAGTCTGTATGTGTGTATTCAAGCAAATTTCTATGAGTCTACCTTAATGAACAGTAATTCTTCATATATAGGAAAATGTGGTTAAAAAAAAATAAACAGAATTGATTTAAAAAAAAAAACACGTATTATTTAACCTCCGTGGGTTTTCCAATTTGCTGAAAGTGTCAGGAAGATGCTTAGCCAGATCCATCACTTCCTCAGAGATTGAAGTCAACTGTTTCTTCATGTCACTAAGTTGGATTTCTTCCTCTGGGGGAATAAAATCAATATTAATTTTCAAACCACAAAGCAGAGATATTCATTTAGCCGCTTCATTAAATAATATTAGGGCTCAAATTTTCATTTTCTTTCCTTAAATGAATTCCAACAAAAAGACCTTCTTATTCAATTCCCAAATTGCCTCAGTCGCTTTCCTTCTCTTTCAAATTTTTATTGTTTAAATTCCAAATGATCTGCAGTCATATGTATCATAACCCAGCTGTTATTGACCTAGGTAGAAAGTGAAGATGGAAATGAGAATCTGAACCTGTCTGCACTATTGCAAAATCAGAAGTCAGTATAACACTGTGTGTGCTCCTACTTAATAATACTGTTATTAATAGTATAGCCTTCTCTAACAGTCATCCCTCATTGCCTTCATTCCCAGTTATCACCAAAATAAAATATGTCTTTCTTTTTTCCCTTTTTTTTGGGGCAGAGGAGGGAGGGTCTCACTCTGTCGCCCAGGCTGGAGTGCAATTGCACAATCTCAGCTCACTGCAACCTCTGCCTCCCAGCTTCAAGTGATTCTCATCCCTTAGCCTTTGGAGTAGCTGGGACTACAGGCATGTGCCACCATGCCCAGCTAATTTTTTTTTTTTTTTTTTTTTTGTATTTTTAGTAGAGACAGTGTTTCACAATGTGGGCCAGGCAGGTTTCAAACTTCTGGCCTCAAGTGATCCACCTACCTTAGCCTCCCAAAGTGCTGGGATTACAGGCACACGCTACCGCCCCCCACCAAAATAAAATGTAAGCCTTTCTAACCAGTGATCATCTTCCAAACTCTCAACTTCATCCCATCTGGCACATCATTGCCATCAACAGCACAAAGCCTGCCCTGCCTTCCCAAACACTTCCCCTGCTTAGAATTTATTCATCATCATTTCTCTTATCCTTCAAAAGTCCATCTCCTCTGAAGCCCATGAGACAGAGCTCTATAACCTGCTATTCCTGATTACTACAGTTATCTTGACATCTCCAAATTACATTCTTTCATCCTTGAAGAATGTAGTGCCTGGTTTATTGTCTTTCCCTCCACTATTACTCCTGTGATCACTGCCAGTGACTTCAACATCCACAGGCCAGTTCCTTAACTCCTCCATTTCCAACAAACTTGTCTTCAACAGATCTTAGCCATTCAGTTCCACAGTCATACCACTGACCTTATAAATGACCACTGACCAATAAAATCACCACTTCCAGACTTCAACTGTAAGCCTTCCACCCTAGCAACACTAGCATGCCTATCTTTCCTTCCAGCATGCATTCCCCAACAATATTTTGACACTTTCAGAACCAAATGAATTGATCTTATCACCTTTCCCTTATCTATTGCTCTCCCTACTCCCATTCCCCACTGAACCTTACATTCCTCTCTTACCCACATTACAGTAATCATTCCTTTGTATCTACATTCTCAACTCCTTTGCTTTCTGCCTCCCCTTCTCCCCCCAAGACACTTACCTGGCAAAACCGCTACTCTTAATAAAACCTACCTTTTTTACCTACCTGATGCCTACACCCAAGCAATTGAATATACTTGAAAATAAAGCACATCGATGATGACACAGATTTCAAACAAACCCTCAGTACTGACTGACAGCCAATCACCCTACAAGCCTTTGCGCTTTCTTCCCTCTAAGCCTGCTATGCTTTTCCTTCAGATAACCACATGGCTTTTTCACTTCACCCAAAGAAAATGAAGGGGCATGGTATGTTTGGTTCATGAATTTTCCCCAGCAACTGTAACACTGCCTGACATATAAGCACCTAACAAATAAGTGTCACATGAATCAATAAATATTCGCTTTCCAAACTAAGCTTCTAGAAAAATAGTTGTTTATACATGCCTTAGTTATTTCTAAAACAAGCTTCTAAGAAAATGTTTTCAAGCCAGATGCAGTGGCCTGAAACCCCAGGTATATGGGGGCTGAGGCAGGAGGATCACTTGAGGCCACGAGTTTGAGCCAGCCTGAACAACATAGTGAGACCCTGTCTGTTTCCACATTCCTTAGCTCTTACTCCTCTATTCATGTTAATATGATTTCCACCCACCTCATACTCTTGCTATGGTTATGGGACCTTCGTGTTACCAAAGCCTGTGGACTCTTCTCTGTTTAAACAGCACATGCCCCAAGGGACCACTCCTCAAAACACTCCTTTGCTACCCAGTACAGCAAAGCTACTGTTTAAAAGATTACAAATGGCTGGCACAATGCCAAATCTAATGATGAATTCTAAGTCCTCAGTTTCTCACTCTCAGCAAAATGTAAAACAGTTGATAGCATCCACCTACTTAAAACATGTTCTTCACTTAGCTTTCTGCACACCACACCTCCTAATTTCCTCGATGTCTATGGCAACTCCTTTGGTGTCCCCTCCTCCATGCAAATGTTCAGCACTAAGAGTTCCTCGGGATTCTCAGTCCCAACTCTGTAACTCAAACTGTCCTCTGCACTACAGCCAACAGAACTAACGCTCGCACCACCTCCACTTATCTGTCTTACAGGTCTCCCTCCCTTAAAACACCTAAAATCAACTGTGTGACGACACATCCCAAAATCTTGCTCTTCCTTAATGCCTTTCATCCCTGTTGCTCGTGCTAACAACACAGGACTAATCCTTGACATATGTCTTTCATCATTACCTCAAATTCCATTGCTTTAGTAAATGTATCTTGAGGCTGGGCATGGTGGCTCATGGCTGCTCTATTAAATGCATTTTGAGGTCAGGTGTGGTAGCTCATGCCTGTAATCCCAGCACTTTGGGAGGCCGAGGCAGGTGGATCACTTGAGACCAGGAGTTTGAGACCAGCCTGGCCAACATGGCGAAACCCAGTCTCCACTAAAAATACAAAAATTGGCCGTGCATGGTGGCAGACACCTGTAATCCCAGCTACTCGGGAGGCTGAGGCAGGGGAATCAATTGAACCCAAGAAGCAGAGGCTGCAGTAACCTGAGATCGTACCACTACTCTCCAGCCTGGGTGACAGAGTAAGGCTCCATCTCAAAAAAAGAAAAAAAGTGAATTTTTTATCTGTCAACTTCTCTCCATTCTCAATACAATTAACTGATTCAAACTGCCACTACCTCTCACTTAGATTATTGTCGCAGCCTCCCAAAAGATCCAACCATCCATTTTTTTATCCTAGAGCCCAGGTTGTCATTTTTTTAATGCAATTCACTTCACTGTTATGTTTAAAGCCCTCGGTCACTTCAATTGCTCTTGGGAGGAGACATAAACTCCTTACCAAGGCCCATCTGCTTTTCTTTTTCAGCTTTGACGTCATCCATCCGGCCCTATTCAATGTTCACTATACTGGACTACTTTCAATTATCTATAGATATCATGATTTCTCTTACCTCTGAAACGTGGCACCTGCAGTTTCCTGTGCCCATTCTTTCCCATATTCTTCTGCTAGCTCTTTTTTTTGGTTTTTTTGAGATGGAGTCTCACTCTTGTCGCCCAAGTCTCACTCTTGTCGCCCGGGCTGGCGTGCAAGGGCACAAGCTCAGCTCACTACAACCTCCACCTCCCAGATTCAAGTAATTCTGCTGCCTCAGGCTCCCAAGTAGCTGGGATCACAGGTGCCTGCCACCACATCTGGCTAATTTTTTATATTTTCAGTAGAGACAGTGTTTCACCATTTTGGCCAGGTTGCTCTCAAACCCCTGACATCAGGTGATCCACATACCTCAGCCTCCCAAAGTGATGGGATTACAGGCATGAGTCACCATACCTGGCCTTAGCTAACTCTTGTTCAGATTTCAGGTCTTGCTCTTACCTATACTTTCTCCAGAAAATATTCTAGAATATTTCCCCCAACATGTGTCAGATGTCTCCCTGTGTGCTAACTACAGCACCTTGTTTTCCCATGACATATGACTCATCTCCTTATACTGAAATTGCTTTTTTCACTCATCTATATCCCCAATAAAACTATAAGCCCCTCAGGAAACAGATCATGCCTGTCTGTTCACTACTGTATTCCCATATCATAAAATGCTCAACAATATTTAACAAATGTGTAAATGTGTCTTTAACTACTACATCATTTGGTGTTTATTAACTACCATCTTGGGAATAAGTCAATGAGGAAACAATGTGTAAATATCCTTTTATGTTCTAATCTAATTGTTATCCTTTAACAAGAAGAAAAAAATAGTCTAAAAAGCAAAAGAGAAAAGTGGTCATTTGATAATATCATCCACATATACATGAAGAAAATTAGAGAACAATGAGGCTGATACTTCTGGCTAAGAAACAGAAAGGAAGGAAGGGAAGAAGGAAAGAAAAAAATGGTAATCTTAGTTATGAGGTTGATACAAAAGTAATTGCGGTTTTTGCCATTAAAAATTACCAAAACCACAATTATTTTTGCACCAACCTAGTATAATTCACTGGGATCTCAGTCAAGATGTCACAATACACTCACATATATAATGTAAGAAAGTGGGGGGAAAAAGTGAAGGTCAAATAATGTAGCATTGCAATGACAAGTACACAGATACCAGGACTTCCACTACTGTGTTATTAATATATGTTACTTCAGTGAAAATAATTGTAAACATTCCTTGGAAGCATTTTCACCAAAACTGCACAAGCAACAAACTTGTACATGTAACCTACATGCAATTCCACAAGCCACAAAACCAGAAAAACATAAATCTCCTCTGTTAAATTTTAGTTTTATTATGAGTTAAATAAGTTCTTATATACTGTTTACCAAATCAGCTTAAAATAACCTATCACTTGCCTCAGTTAATTAAGATGGTCATTCCTCTGTATCCTTGACGGATAGGTTCCAGAACCACCCCCGCCCCCCCTCCCCTGCATGGATACCAAATCCATAGATGATCAAGTCCTTTATATAAATCCATAGATGATCAAGTCTCTTATATAAAATGTTGCAGTATCTGCATATAATCTATGTACATTGTCCTATACACTTTAAATCATCTCTAGATTTCTTATAATACCTTATATAATGCCTATACTTCACTTCATTCATATGTATTCAATGTGATACTTCATGCAAGAAATTCAAGTTTTCATTTTTTTAAACTGTGAAGTCTTTTTTTTTTTTCTGGAATGTTCTCAATCTGCAGTTGGTTGAATCTGATGCAGAACCCAGGGATATCGAAGCTGACTCTAACTTACAACCACAGGATCTCTGACTACAAAGAATCAGCAGGCATTCATCAGAAGTGGCTCTCCGGGGAGAGGAAGTAAGTATAAAGACTATTCTACCTTAACATATAAAGGAGGGCTGTACTCCACAGAGGCTCTGATTCTCTTCTCAATGACAATTATAAAGAATATCATATCATTTTATATGAGGCAGTCATGCCATATTTTTAAGAGTATTTAGCAAAATGGTCTAATTTAATTAACATCTTAACAAACACAATCATTTAAAATCTCCAAAAGGAAGCTACAAGAATAGTGATAACCTTATACAAATCAATACAGATGCTTTGAATACTTTGTCCCATTTAGTGTTCACAATTATTCTATAAAACGTATTATGCTAGTATCTACATTCCACGCTTGGTGAAACAGGTACATTCCCAGGTCACGTGGCTGGGATTCACACTGGTCTATGCAACACAAAAGCCTGGAGCTTATCCACTCCACTATGTGGCTCTTTCTGCTTTCCCTGGACCTCTAAAAACAGCACTGAAGTTGAATGACATATCCATTCTTTTTGAAGAAAGGACAGAAGAAAATTAGAAATGTAAACCAGTATGCTTGAAAGCATTGTAAACTGCTCAATAATATGTAATAAATGAATAAATGCATCTTTAACTACTGTATCACTTAGTGTTTTAAAGCATTGTATACAAAGCATTTTAAACAGTTATAGCAAGGATGTATAATCTCCAGACTGGGAGAAAGCTGGTTGTGTCACTGACATTATGAAAGCCACAAAGCCCCAACTCTAGAAGCCTAATACATAGCAATGCTACAAAGTAAAAAGGAAGGGCTGCTTTGTCACAAGTAACAAAGGTGAAACACTAATCTTGGGCAGCACTGCTCACACATTCAAGAAGTTTCAGTACTAAATGCTTTGCAAATATGTGAATATTGCCTTTTATGGAGATAAGCCTCACAAAAAACTGAATTCACATTTTATTTATGGATCTTAACATACCTTTATTTACAGTAAACATTTGCACAGCATCATCCATAATTTCTAATTTTCGGTAAATAATGAAACCAGCCTATAAAAAAAATAAAAAGAGTATGCTGAAGATCACCAAAATAAACCGAAAGTCCCATCTTCAAAAAAATCAAAGAGAATGATTCGCGAAGCACTCAAACATGGAATTCAACCTATTATGTGACACAATTATCAGTATGTCTCCATTTAAAAATCATACCAATTTGTGAAAATTAAGAAAGTAAGCTGCCTAAGCCTTAAAAGTTTGTTTTCACTTTTTTACACTCAATATTACACACAATATCCAAATCAAATAACCCATAATGGAATCTCACAAAATCCAATCTAGTAAGAGAAATCTTACTTAAATCAATTGAGAATGTTAGTCAATGTATGAACAGTCCTCCTTCTAAGTCCTGTTCACAAGAACAATCAAGTCACATTGATTTTTCATGAATAAAAATGCCACAGAACTTGTGCTAGTTCTCAAGAAGTTTGGGGATATCTTTTAAAGGAAAATTATCATCCTAACAAAAATGAATTGTTTGCTGGTTACAAATCAAAGGAGTTTCCATTCCTTTGATAGATGCAAAGGCGAAACAATAAAAAATTCATCTACAAATAAAAGCTTGAATTAGGAGAAAACAAATTCACTATGGAATAAAATATGTTTCTTTAAAAACACACAATAATGCTACATATTAAGATAAGCCCAGATTTCACTATATACAAACATGTAAATATAAAAATATATCTAATGGCAGCAACAAGCTAAATTTGAAAGCAATTTTTCTAAAATTTCACCACATTTTATACATAAATATAAGAAAAAGGCCAGTTTCAAAATAGAAACTGTACTATAATTATTTTCCTTCTGAATTGCTTATATATCGAATCCATCATCAGTACTATTTGTGCTTGCTCAGCCTGAGTTTTTTAGCCTTTCATGTTTTCAGCAAGTTCACATTTTTTTCACATACAAATTAGAGATGAATTTGGCTTCATGACAATGAAAATAACTAGCATTGAACAATCTGTTGATTGGTACTTGCTAATTAATATCGAGAATGAACAATCTCACTAAATGTCTTCCTAAGCATTTTCCAATGCCAAACTGATACAAAATATTTTGGTAGAGTTGTTGCCACTACTACAATAAAATTTTTCTAAAGTAATTTATAATAATGTTTTTAAAACACATCATCATTTCTAAAGATCTTTAAGCACGTACATAAGCATCAGTGGCTGCATACAGTTTCTGGTCCTCAGTGAGAGGAAATTTACTCCAATTGCTACAGCGGATAGACTTGTCTTTCAGAAGCTGTTTACCTAAGAGGTGTTTAACCAGACCGTTGAGGCTCCAGGTCTCTATACATTTCAGCTAGAAATTATGAAAAAGCAACACAGTAAAAATTAGTTCCTGTTTTCAGTATTACCTAACGACATCAAATGAACATGCCACAAATAAAATTAGGAAATGTTATACCAAAATACAACCCACAGATAGCCTTCAACAAATTCCCTGTCACTAAAAGCTTCATTTGCAGTCCACACTGTAAGAATTTTTAATTCTAGAATTTCCCTAATGTAGGTATTAAAATTCTTGGACTTTGAAAGTATTGTTCATGAACAAAGTTGAATAGTTAGTAGGCTTTCTACTTCCCAGCCAAATGAATACTTGGCTAAATATGACGATTTAATTTAATGACTTCATTAATAAAATATGTGAAATATAGGTAATGGAACCGATCACTAAACTTCCACTAAGAGCATTGTATCACAAGAGCTACATTATGCTCTCCCTTAAAAAAAAATAATTTTAAGTTATTGGTATAAATGGATTAAAAATATATACCTAAAACACAATATTTACATTTGCAAATATATTACAGTAAAAGAGTACCAAGAACTGGGAGGAAGGAAAGGAGACGGCTTGCTTAAAGAAACTATATGGCAAGATACTGAATTAGAACTAAAGGTTTTCCATTGTGGAAGACTGTGGCAATTCCTCAGAGACGTAAAGAAAGAAATACCATTTGCCCCAGCAATCCCATGAGTGGGTATATACCAAAGGGAACATAAATCATTCTGTTATAAAGACACATGTACGTATATGTTCACTGCAGCACTATTTACAATAGCAAAGACAGAGAATCAACCTAAATGCCCATCAATAATAGACTGGATAAAGAAAATGTGGTACATATACACCAGGGAATACTATGCAGCCATTAAAAAAATGAGATCTTGTCCTTTGCAGTGACACGGATGGTGTTGGAGGCCATTATCCTTAGCAGGATAAACTAACACAGGAACAGTAAAGCAAGTATCATATGCTCTCACTTATAAGTGGGAGCTAAATGATAACACACAGACACATAAAGGAGAACAACACATACTGTGGGAGTTGGAAGGTGGGAGGAGGAAGAGAATCAGGAAAAATAACTAATGCATGCTAGGCTTAACACCTGGGTGATAAAATAATCTGTACAATAAACCGCAATGACACAAGTTTACATATGTAACAAATCTTCACATGTACCCCTGAACTTGAAACAAAAGAACAAACAAAAAAACCTAAAGGTTTTCCTTATAGAACATTCACTTGGAACTTTTTTATTGCTACAAAAACATTATATAACTTAAATTATTTTTCCAAAAAAAACTAACATTCAGATAGAAAGTAGTCTGTACAACACAAAATTATCTCCATTATGAAAATAATAGATATATTGCTTTTACCTTTTTATTGGCAACATCTGTCAACTCTACAAAATTCTCCAATTTGACATCAAAGTCACGTAGAAGTTTCCACTGATCTCCTTCAATTCCTACACCTGCCTTTTTAATTGCTTTATTTTCAAGCAACATTTTTAATCCCTGGGGAAAAACTGTAACATTTTCTTGTTATTTCCATAAGTTCTGTCAGGTATGATGGATTTATTTCCTACTTCTTATATGTACCACGTTTACGTTTAAATTTGTGTTTAACATTAAGCTTAAATTCAGAAACACATTCACCTTGAGTATTTCTTAACTAATACAAATGGTCCTGATTGATAAATGACAAGAAAAAACAACCAGTTTGAATGCCACTCCTGCTAGCACTGGCAGTATATATCCTGCTCATTTAGCTCCTTAAAATTTCAGTTTTCTCTGAAACAGAAAACATGTCAATGCCTCACAGGTATGTTGTGAAAATTAAATAAAACAAGGAATGTGAGTGAATCAGGTAGAACATAAATACTTATATAAATTTAAGATAATGAGAGAATAGCTCGCTAATCAAAGAACTTAATTGCATAGAGATAAAGTTGACCTATTTCAATTACCAACCATAGAAAAATGAAACAAAGAGATACCAACCTGACAAGGAAGAAATGTGGAACAAATAACATTTGCTCTCAGAAACACACAACTGAATTAGTGCAACTTTGCCAGGTTTCCCTTTATTGTATACTGGAGGCCACTCCATGTCAAATCCCACCACATCCCCATCTGATAGACTCATGCTAAAGGGAGAAAAATAGTGTAAATTAATTGTGTTAAAAGTTTAAACTGCTGCATAACTAAAGACATAGTTCAAAAATTAAAAGGCAATCACAGACTGTTAGAAGATATCTGCAGCAAATACAACTGATAATGAACAGCGTTAAGAAAATATATAAAATTCCTTGAAAAATAAGTAAGAAAAAACAAATTATTCAGTAGAAAAAATGAGAAAAATATGAACAGGTAATTCCCAAAAGAAAATCCAAGTGACCAATAAATCCAAAAGATATGGCTGGGTATGGTGGTTTACGCCTGTAATCCCAGCACTTTGGGAAGTCAGGGCAGGAGGACTGCTTGAGACTAGGAGTTCAAGACCAACCTGTGCAACACAGCATGTCTCTACAAAATAATTTAAAAATTAGCTGGGCATTGTGGCGCATACCTATAGCCCCAGCTACCCAGGAAGCTGAGCCAGGAGGATCACTTGAGTCCAGGAGTTAGAGATTAGTGTGAGCTATGATCACGTCACTGTACTTTAGCCTGGGCAAAAGGGCAAGACCCTGTCTCTAAGAAAAACAAAAATAAAAAATAAATTTTAAAAATCCAAAAAATATGTGAAAGCACTACTTTTCACTAGAAGTCAGAGAAATGTAAATTAATTCGACATGATTTCACAAGTATCTGATCGATAAAAATTAAAGTTTCAGAATACCAAGTGCTAACAGGTTATCTACCAGTGGTTAATGTATAAATTGGTAAAATCCTTTTGGAAAAAACTTTGCCAATGACAGTATCTAACTGAAGATACATAAACACTATGACCTGGCAATTTTTGTCACAGATAAATGACACCCTCAAATAGGCATGTTTAAGAATGTGCATTGCAGCCAGGCGCAGTGGCTCACACCTATAATCAATCTCTCCACTTGGGGAGGCCAAGGCAGGCAGATCATGACGTCAGGAAATCAAGACCATCCTGGCCAACATGGTGAAACCCTGTCTCTACTAAAAATACAAAAATTAGCCAGGAATGGTGGTGCATACCTGGAATCCCAGCTACTCGGGAGGCTGAGGCAAGAGAATTGCTTGAACCAGAGAGTTGGAAGTTGCAGTGAGCCAAGATGGCGCCACTGCACTCCAGCCTGGTGACAGAGAGAGACTCCTCTCAAAAAAAAAAAAAAAAAAAAAAAGAATGTGCATTGCAACACTGTTCCTACTGGCAAAAATTAGAAACAAACTACATTTCCATTAACAAGAAAATGCATTGAACCAACTCTTGCATAATGAAACATTGTAAGATATAATAGTTAAAATGTTAACTACACAGATCAATAAGAAAAACTCATATAATATTTTCAGATATAAAATTATTATGTATTATTATAGAAAACATGTGAGCGGATATAAAATTATTAAGTATTATTATAGAAAACATGTGAGCGGCCAGACACAGTGCCTCACACCTGTAATCCCAGTGCTCTGGGAGGCCAAGGTAGGAGGATCACTTGAACCCAGGAGTTCAAAACCAGCCTGGGCAACATAGTGAGACTGTCTTTAAAAACTGAAAATAAAAAAATTAGCTAGATGTGGCAGCACATACCAGTAGTCCTAGCTACTTGAGAGCCTAGGCAAAAGCATCACTTAAGCCCATAAGGTTAAGGCCGCATTACATAAGAGCTTGCCACCACACTCCAGCCTACACAACAGAACAAGACCCTGTGTTTATTAAAAAGAAAAAAAATGCACAAAAATCACAGAAGTTATCTCAGAAGGGTACAGGGGGAGAATCAGAAAGAACATACATGGGACTTCAGCTGTATTTTATTGTTTCATTTCTTAATAAAAGAATTGAAGAAAACAGGCTGGTGACAGTGGCTCACACCTGTAATCCCAGCACTTTGGGGTGCCAAGGCAGGCAGATTGTTTGAGTCCAGGAATTTGAGACCAGCCTGGGCAACATGGCAAAACCCCACCTCTATTAAAAAACAATACAAAAATTATTCAGGCATGGTGGTGCACACCTGTAGTCCCAGCTACTCAGGAGGCTGAGGCAGGAGAATTGCCTGAACCCAGGAGGCGGAGGTTGCAGTGAGCCAAGACCGCGCCATTGCACTCCAGCCTGGGTAACAAGAGCGAAACTCTGTCTCAAAAAAAAAAAAGAAAAGAGTTACAGAAATCTTCCTAAGGGATGCCTTTGGTCTTTGCAGAATACAAGGACATGCATGCACAGACTAAAACTCTATGGGGCTGGGCAAAAAACCATAAGCTGAATGATTCCTAGGAAGGACTTACACAAAGGTAAGAGGCATTAAAGTTCTAAAAAGTCAGAGATCATTGATCACCAGAGGCAGTCAACAAAGACCCCAGACAGGTCACATCTTATTACAAGACTAAATTATCCTTAGATTTTAGGCAAACGTGGACCTTCCCTGATCAAGCTTGAAAACAAGCTTCAAAACATAAAGTTGATCTTCAAGTAACTTAGATGTCTGACAAAGTTACTTCCTTTAAAGGAAAACAGTAAAATGTAACGTTCCGAAAAGTAAAATCACAAAGCCTAATTTAAAAAATTAACAGCTGTAAAAATAAACAGAAAAATAAGACCCATAACCAGAAAAAAAAATCATCTAATATAAAGAAAAACTCCTAGAATAATGGAATCAATATACAATGTACAAGTATATTAAAACATTATAAATATGTTGAATATATTCAAGAATGTCAAAAGAAACAGGAATATAATGAAAGCCAAAAGAGAAAAAAAAATTAAGAACAAAATGGGACGTCTAGAGATAAGCAAAATATATAATATCTAAAAAAGAAATTCACAGGATGGGATAAAGAGATCAGATATTACAGAAGTACAAAATATAACTGAACTTGCAGACATAGGAAAAGAAACTATTCAAATTATTCAAAATGAAGCACGGAAAGAAAAAAAGGAAGAAAGAAGAAAAGACTGAAAGGGGCCGGGCGCGGTGGCTCAAGCCTGTAATCCCAGCACTTTGGGAGGCCAAGTCGGGTGGATCACGA